ATCTGATGCGGGGTCAGTGAGCTGAGGAGTCGAAAGAAAGATTTCTTGGACTCTCAAGATCTGGCAGTAGTGCTCTTTTATTTAGAGAATAGTGTGGAATACCGTGGGGACTGGACTCATGGGCAGTCAGAGCTGCTGCTGCTACTGCCGGCATGGGGACAGGACCCATGGGCAGTCAGAGCTGCTGCGTGGGGACAGGGCCCACGGGCAGGAGGAGCTGCTGCTGCTGCCCCTGCTCCTGCTGCAAACATGGGTGGAGAGTCAGGCTAAACTCAAGGCATAGGTATGTGAGCCACCTCTTTACAAGACAAAGGAAAGAACATGTAAAAAAGTTAAAATGGTATCAGTGCAGGTGGGGTCTGGCCATTGGGTGGTCCCACAACTTTTAGATAGGAATCAAATTGGATTAAGTAAAGGCCAGAAGCCACCACCCTAAATCAGTTACATGAGGTTGCCAGACAGTAACCAACTTAAGTTCTTGCCTTTGGCATTGAGTAAGAGTTTCTAGAGGTAAGGCCATCCCCCTTCTTCCTGGCACAGAGAGGGAGGCGTCTTTACAGATGGAGGTTTCCTTTCAAATGTAAATGTTTCCCAACTAAGGGCAAGCAAACTCCAGTCCTCGGAGCCTGCTTCTCATCTGCAGTTTTAAAATTAACCAGCCTAAAAATCGTCATCACATCTATTACAGAACATCCAGTAGACTCAGGGATAGGATCCTTAAGCAAACCCAGTAGTATTTCTGCAACTAAATGTACAATATTCACCCCTGGATAATATATAATAATTCACCCTTGGATAAATAGCAACTATAAATAGCATCATATCAGTTCAAGTCTGGTTTTACTGCCGAATGAGTCCGTATCAAACTAAAGAAAAATCTCTCCACTTACAAAGCTTTTTGGCTTCCAGAATTATGGACGTGTGCATCTGAATTATTTTCTGCCTTTTACATATGAGGAAACAGACTTAGGGAGATTAATCTACCAAACGTCCTACCGCGAGCAAATTACAGAGCTGGGAGTCTGACTCAGGTTGTCTGACGCTAGAGTTCTTGATCTTAATCTTTATACTACATTGCTTTCCAAGGAAAGGAACAAAAATAAGAAAGTGGCAACTAGAAAGACAGGAAAAAAGACGTCTTCCGAAGTCCAGGGCAAAGGCTGAAGCCTATGGCGTAATCATAGCCACCAGATTCTTTGTGCTCAGTGCCTTATATAAGCGATGATTTCACTTAATCTTGTCATCAACCCTGTGACATGGGCATTATATCTGATTTCCAGGAGGAAACCGAGGCTCGGAGAAACCAAGTCACTTGTTCAGGATCTTATGATGAGTAAGGGGTAGGCTGATTCCCAAGCCCCCATTCCTACCCCCGTGGTCACAGGGCCCCCTCAGTCAAGCCGCCCTTTCTGCCCTTCTCATTCCTGCCATTTTTGGCTCTCTTATTTTCCCTTGTCTTTGTTTCCTCCTTTGTAAGCTTGGAAGTTGTGCACATCTGATGGGGCATGGCAGGCTCGTTCAGCACCAACTCAGAGCCCTGAACAAATATTTGTTGGATGGATGGATGACTTCACGAAGACAGTGGTAATAAGGTGCTTAGCTAGGAACTCATGAGTTTTCTGTCCCACTGACCCAAAACCACCTCCCAGTTGCTAGATGCGGAATTGGCTAGACCAGAATGACCACGTATCCCAGTTTGCCTGGGACTATCCAATTACTCCTGCTGTCCCAGCTTGATGTTAGCAGCAGCTCCTTCACTCTGAAAAGTGTCCCTTTGGGCCGATAAAGTCTGCACGTTTGCAGAGCATTTTGGAACTGAAAAGGGCAAGCTCTAACAAAGTTAGTACAAGGTATCGCCTGCCTCTCCCCACTCCTATACCCCCTGGGCTGTGGGAAGGGAGCCCTAGAGAAGTGGAGACAGCTTGCATGCACATACGACCTGAGTAAGGCGGACCCCTCTCTGGCTTCCCATCACCCTCCCAGAAAGGGGGCCCCACCTGAAGCTGTCATCATGGGATCCCAGCAACAGGATAGGGATACTGGCAGAGCCCACCTGAGACAACCCCCCACCCAACCCCAGTCTGTTCCCCTACCAGCCTCTGAGGACTCCAGAGAGGCTAACGCTCCATCCAAAATCTTCTCAAGAGCCTTGGGTGGGGTGTGGAAGCAGACTGGAGGTAGCCAGGTGCATGAGACAAGGGGGACAGAGAGAGACCACTTTGTGGGCCTGGTGACCAGACAATTAGACCCAGGAATGCTACAAAAGCCCTCTAGAAGCTTACATGCATCCCTCCCACCCTTTCACACTCCCCAAGAAGAAAACGCAGAGGGTTAAATCCTGGTAACAAGTGTAAGCCTAAAATGATAGAAGCCACTGAGTCGACGAGGTAAAACTAGATGCAACTAAATTCAGCTTTCCGCATTAGACAGAATGGGGTTCAGGGCAGAAATTTAGTTGTTACGGAAAAAAGAAAGGGGTCCGTTTTGTACCTCTGAGTCCTATGGCCAGTAACAATTATTTATAATACTGTAATTTTTAATGATTACAGTATTCTATTTTAGGGATGTATTGTAATTTAACTAATTTCCTATCATAGGACATTTGGGTTATTCTAAATTTTCATTGTTATAAACGATACTGGGACAAACATCTCAGTATGTGCATATCACTAATTAACCTGTGCTAGTCAGCTGCCATGTCGTGAGGTTACGAGCAGCCTGTGGTGAGGTCCAGCTGGCGAGGAAATGAGGCCTCCTGCCAGCTGCCATGTGAGGGAGTCAGTCAAGGCTTCAGATGGTGCAGCCCCAGCTGACATCTCACCTCAGTCAGAACCACCCAACCGAGCTGTTCCCAAATTCCCGCTCACAGAAACTGCAAGATAATGGGTGTTTATTGTTCTAAGCCACTAAGTTTTGGATGGATGTGTTATGTAGTAATATATGCACGTATATAAGTTATATACAATACATACATATATGTGTGTTATGTATTATGTATAGCATACATCCGTATGTATACATATACACACACACACACTTAAATTAATTCCTAGAAATAGAAAAACAGGATTAGTGGGTCATAGGATGTGATCTTTTAAACGTTTTAGATACATGTTCTCAAACCGCTTTCTGGAAAGGCTGCCCCAATTTACTCTGACCAGCATGTATGAGAGTGGCCATTTTCAGGACACTTGCCAATGCTGGGTATTATCTGTTTGGTTTTTTAATAAACACTGGAATGAAGGGGAGAAGACACCCTCACAAGAAGCCACTTGAACTACAGGTTACTGCAGTGTCTCGAAAGCTTAGGGAGGACGTTCCTGGAGACGGATGCTCGAGAGATTAGGATGAGGTCTCCCTCCTCTGCTTGGGACAGTCCTTGCCTGAACAGCAGATGTTGAGAACCATCCAGAGCAGCCACAGGCAATGCTCAGGGTCAAGCTGAGGACAGCCCCGGACTCCTTATGCCTGTTCCCCAGGGCCCCACACAAAGTTGTGTTGTAAAAATGTGCCAAGTGCCTCAGCGCACAACACCCCAGACCCTGCGTGGTGTTAAATAAAGCGGTGGGACAAAGCCGGACTGAGGGACCTCAGCGCACGACGCCCCAGACCCTGGGTCGTGTTAAATAAAGCGGTGGGACAAAGCCAGACTGAGGGACCTCAGCGCACGACGCCCCAGACCCTGGGTCGTGTTAAATAAAGCAGTGGGACAAAGCCCGACTGAGGGATGCAGGAGAGGGAGGAATCCCCGTGTAGAATGCTACCCACAGAGAGGGCTGGGCTGCACACAATTTGCTGCCTAATTCAATCATGGGATTCTTTCTAAAAACATTTCCAAAAGTGTCACAAATAGGTAACCATTTCTTAATAAACGCAAAAGAAAGACTTGTTTTCTTACAAAATCAGAACACTGGGTCTCTTGGTGATGGTGGATTGTCTTTTTTCCCTTGTTTGATTATATATTGAAAGCAGCTTCCCAGCACGTGCCTTGGGTAGCGACTCAAACTCTGAGAACAGAAGGCACTGCCTTCCTCCCTCCTCACAGCCTGCTTTCCCCTGGTCATCTGTGTGTCACACGAAGCTCCACAGAGAAAGCATAAGGTCCAGAGTGTGTACGAGAAGCTGTGCGTGTGCTGGCGGCCAGGGGGCTGAGCTGAGATGTGGAGCGATGGGAATAGTGAACCTCGGAAAGCTTACCGAGTACCCTAAGTTGGCAATTACACTTCTGAAGTCACGCCAGCACATTTAAAGTCAGCCTAATTTTTCATTGTTTCTTGTCTCCATATCCTGTCTCTGAAAAAATTTAATACAGCAGAATATGGGGACTAGTAAAACACACACCTTGAAATTACCAAACGCTATCACTTTGTTATATTGGCTTCAGATTTTTATATCAGGAAATAAAAATTACTGAGAGTTAAATGCTTTTTTCTCCTCCCTGATGTTGTTTACTTCCCTCCCTCTTGAAGGTAAGTACTATCATGAAGCTGATGTTTTTCTATCTAATTCTTCTTTTATGTTAAGACACACACACACACTCATAAACAACATACCTTACTGTTTTGTGTAAGTTTATACATGTTTGTACTTCAGCTTGCTTTATTCACTCAGCCAGGGCCACGGCTCTGTTGCTCAGCCTGTGCACTGCACAGCTCCTGAGGGCTCATTCACACAGACCACTGAGAGTGGTCCTTGGGGATGTGGGCACGGCAGCCCTGCATTCCACATTCTGTGCTGAGATACACACCGATGCATGGTAGATCTCGCATCCATTTTAATTACGCTATAGTTTTCATTGCGTGGCTGTACCACATTTTATTTATCCATTTCCTTAAGGGAAGCCAATGTTCTGCTGTTGGAAACAGTACCAGTGAACATCCTTACACAGGTCTTCATAGGTACAGGCACACAAGTTTCCACAGGGACTCACCATTCTTATTCTGAGGAGACTGATTTGTAAAAAATGATTCAACAGAACATACAACAAGAAAAAGACAAACTTGGTAAAACTTAAAATATTTATTAGTATGAATCAGTGTGTGTTAAACCAAAAATAACAGATACAATTGGACGCTGTTGAGGGCAAAGCTTTACCGTGGAATACAAGGTGGAATGGTCTGCAGCAGCGTCTTCGATACGCGAGAACTGGGTCCAGCCCAGACAGAAGCTCTTTATAAAAACATGAGAAAAAGGAGTTTACACAACAGAGTATGATGTTGGATCACTGGGTCTGGTTTCAGCAATGATGGTTAAAAGAGTAAACTGGATACCTAACAGGTCTGAATACAGCTTAGGGCGCTTTCATTTGTAAGCCAGCTCATTATTCAACTTGCTGTGAGCGTTGCTGAGCAGTGAGAAGTGGAGCCCCCCAGAAGGAGCTCAGTGTCGGCCATCACAAGCCATCTTCCTTGATCTTACAGGAAATATTTCAGTCATCCAAACCTCCCTCAGAAAATAAATTCAGTTCTTATTGGTGCACAGCCCTTTTGTTGGCTAAAGCTTGGCTTTAGATCTTCAACCTTCTATGGTCTGAAAGGTAACGTCATATTCAGCACCCTAATGTACCATTTTCTACTATAAAATGGCAAGTCAATTATGTACCTACATAAAATATTTATATGACCCCAGTGCCCTCTTTGGGATTTCCATGGGGAGATAACCCCTAGGAGAGCCCACGCCTACATTAGATAACACACCGTCACGAGCCAAATGCGGCCAGTGAAAGGGGTTATACGCTGGCCTAACAAATACGAAATCATATTTACACATGTACACGTACATACCACACACGAAAGGAAAGAAAACAGAGGAAAAGGAGTAAATTTTGGAAAAATGATGTGAAGGATGCTACAGCACATAAAACTCCTTGACATTGTGGAGCCATAGTAATTTCCAGGCCTTTACATAATATTACATGGTTATAGTTCAATATTAGAACAGCCAGAAAGTAATCTCAAGACAAATCAAAGGCAGATGAGATGGCCTCGCTGCAGACAAGGCTGGAGCACCCGTCTTCAGAGAAGCCTCTGCGTTTATGCAAATGCTCATGTGCTCAAGTGCCATCCACTCTTGACACCAGTTGCTCCAAGCAGTGATTATATATATTCTGTCATCTGACTGGCTTGAATAGTTAAGGTAAGAGTGGTTCACACCCTCAGGTGCTTCTGAAATAAAACCAGGGGCTCATTCATGGGTAGCTGGCTGTGTGTGGTTAAGATCAGCTATTTTATGCAAGACACAACCACTGAAGAGCTGGCCCAGAGCTGCAGAGGCTGCTGAGGAGCGTACCACCTTAGCTTGGCAACCCAGCGGCTGTCTAGAGATAAACCCAGGTTCTCAGGGACTGTTGGGTGAGGAAGGGTTCCAAAATAAGCCTGCACGTCACCCAGAAAGAGGTCATTTCAATTTGGAACCCAAATTTTTTAACTTTGGAAAGAGGCACGGTAATCACTTGGCCGGCAAGCAGAATCATGTAGGTCAGTAATGTTGACAATGTGCAGAAAGCCCTAAGGACCCCTGCCAAGACATCCAAATGCCACTTGCCAACAGTTCTTGAGGTACTGTCTGGGAGACCTAAGGGGCCCCCTTGAACCAAAAATATGCCCTCACATCCTAAGATTGTCAACTACGCTGGCAAGCTGGGTGAAGCAGTTAGAACATCAAATTGACAGCATATTCTTGAATTAAAAAAAACCTAAATCTGTGATTTCCACCTGTTTTCTTGATTGCAGACCACTTACAGGAGTGTAAACTTGGCCCTGGTCTCTCAAGTACTCTTGCTTTCTGTTGATGGTGGACTCAGCGTCTCCACCTGCCGTGAGCATGGTGCGCACAGCCGAGAGAGGACTCTAAGTACCAGGTCACGCTGAGTGACTCAAAGTTCAAGGTTTAATCAGCTCACTATCTCTTTCCTGGCTTTACACTGTAGGTGTTCAACTAATGTTTGCCTGGCCTTGAACGCTCCTGGCAAATAAGGTTCATCGGCTCTGCTGCCACGCTGCGTGAGGCTGTTCCCTTGCAGCCCCCACAAGAGGCCCCGATCCAAATGTCCTTTAAGAATCACCTCCCGATATGAGCCCTACTAGGAAATCAACTGCTTCTTGACCCTGGGTTTTTATGACAGTTAGAATGGTAATAGGATTTGAATTTTCCATGGAAAAGCTTTTCCCTTTTTTCATGCCTTCTTTCCCTTTACTTCCACTGGATTCACATATCTTTAATTAATTGAGCAGACAGAGAACCTGAAAAGGAAGGTTTTATCGAAGCCTATTCTCAGCCAATTTGCACTCCAGAGTTGGACCTCTGGTTACTCCCCCAAACTCACCCCCCAAGCTTGGCATCTTCTAAAACGCTTTCTCCAATTTTATAGTTTTGGGAATCTTAATCTGGAATTGAGAATCTTAAGGTGTTGGTACCTCGTCTGGCTGGCTTTCCTGTAATCTATTATAAATTGATGCTATTAGATGTTTGCCCTTTGGTCTAGACTCAAACATCCTCTAGTTAATTTTCCCCCTAGATATGACACTATGATATATTCTCTCTCTTTTTAAAACACTTTTATTAAAAATTGGCACCTGAACTAACATCTGTTGCCAATCTTCTTCTTCCTTTTTTTTCCCTTCTTCTTCTCCCCAAAGCCCCCAGTACATAGTTGTATATTCTAGTTGTAGGTCCTTCTGGTTGTGCTATGTGGGACGCCGCCTCAGCATGGCTTGATGAGTGGTGCTAGGTCTGCACCCGGGATCCGAACCAGCGAACCCTGGGCAGCTGAAGCAGAGAGCGCAAACTTAACCACTCAGCCATGGGGCCGGCCCCGATATATTCTCTTAATAAAATAATACTCTGTGCATTAAATTTCTCTAAGAAAGTAGGAATTTGTTACTGTGGAGGCAATGCATACCAGGCGGTGTCTGGAATAATATTTATATCCTACATCTGTCACTGATTACACAATAACTACTAAATGAGTCTTCCAAACCAGGCCTCCCAATCCCAAAATCACACGCAATATTTTAGTCAGATTTGGTTTGTTTACATATGACCAAAACTTAAAAAAAGGTTTATCAAGTAAAAGTCAGAGATGTAGACAACACTTTCTAATACATCTTTCTCCACTTTTATAACAGCTCAAGTCCACAGCTTGAGTGATGGTCCAATTACACTCCACTGAAAGGTAAATTAAACTAAATTAAATTAACCTTTCCATGAAGGCTGGTTAGGCAGCAAGGCAATGGCACTGAAGAAGTTACTGAAATCTGGCGGGGGACACAGGACATCAGAGTGGACCTCCACTTTAGAATCTCACACACATAATGAGCCAGTAAGACTTCTGTACAAATTTAAGAATATTTTAAGACTTTTAACGAAAAACTCAAATATACTTATTACCTAACATCCATTCCCTCCCAGGTGCATTTCATACACTAAAGGCCACTTTGCGGTGGTATGGTGGATTTTTCCAGAGTTTTCTAAAACCCTTTTCCAGGGACAATCTTGCCCCATTCCCTGCAGGTCTTCCAGGATGCCAAGCCAGCGCGCTCACTCTTTCTAAGTGAGGTGCCAGGCCACCGAGGGTGGGAGGTCCTTCAGCAGTGCACAGGGCGGGGGGCTCTGGCTTCTTCCAGTACAGTGGACCCTGGCCCACGGGTCAGCAGCACCGCGGGCCGGCTTGCGTGGATGGCTTCATAAGTTTGATTCCTCCATTGTTTCCATTTTCATGGGGGTCCAAGGGTGGGATCTGGCGACCTGGAACAGAAAGGAGGCCACATATAGATTGTACCTTGCTTCAACACCTCCACTAAGGTTTGGGTCACACAGAAAGTGGAGAAGCTACAGAAGTAGCTCGTTTTCCCTCCTTCCCTCTTTTCCCCTCTCCTTTCTTCCTCCCTCTCTTCCTTCCTCACTCCACTGCATGAAGTCAAACCGCGTTTAGAAAGTTAAGGAAAAGCAAAAGCAGCTTCCAGATACTACAAATGTCCCTGGACTTGGAATCCCTTGCTCCTGAGTACAGAGAAAGTCCCCATCCCGCTTCTCGGCACGAACATCAGCGCCTCGTCCCTCCCTCGGCTTCCCACGCGTCTGTCCCACTGCAATGGGCTGCTTCATGGACCCGAGGCTTCAGCAGTAACAGCGCGCGCTCGTCTTTTCTGCTTCTTAAAATAGAGCTGGATTGGGAATTGTAATCTTCCTAGTAATATCACTTATTGACACTTAGCTCCCCACCCTTCATCCTGCCAACGCACTTAGAGCATTAACTGGAAAGCCCTGGGAGGCGTTCTTCACAGGAAACAGTATTTTTCACGTCATCCACAAGTAATCCTACCTGTAAAATTTAACTTGAAAAATTATCCCAGAGTCTCTGTAAATACACAACGTAAAAAGTAAAAAGGAATGGAGGGTTAGGGAGGGGGTAGCTAAAAGGTGTGTGGTTTCTTTTTGAGACGATAAAGATATTCCAAAACTGACTGTGCTGATGGTTGCACATATCTGTGAACACACTAAAAACCACTGAAGTGTACACTTTACATTGGTGAAAGGCATAGTATGTGAGTTTTATCTCAAAAAGCTGTCTTTAAAAAAGGCAGTGGAATCTGGAAGTAACAAATATGTGTTTAGAACCTCACAGTTTTCAAGGATTGTCACAGGCACCTTCCTCACTTAATCCTGTGAAGCTGGCGTGGTGGCCGTGATTATCACGAGTTTACTCAGAGGACCTTGGCTCCAGGCTGAAGGTCACACCTCAGGCGGCTCTTTGATGATGACCTGCATCTCGATTTTCTGAGGCATCCCAGAGCCAGCGCTCCTCCCGCTCTACACGTAGCTCTCTATGCTATTGTTCTAGTTGCCGTGAAAAAGGCATGAAACACTAGCTCGAAAAGCAGGATTTTTTCCCCCCAGCTAATTAGTTTAGTGCAGTATCAGTTTACTAAGTAACCAGTAATTAGAAATGGAAGGGAAATTAGTTCCAAAGACAAAGTCCTTCAGTGCAAGTGGATGTTACCTAAGGACAATAAAGAGAGTTAAAACGCCCTGGCAGAGGACATTTTCACAAAGGGCAGAAATAGTTAATTTCAAGGGTATTAATTCATTGTGTCGATTGGGTGGCACGGTCATCCATCAAAGCTCAAGCATAAAGATCAAGGTCACTGGCAATTATCCCCAATTCAAAATCAATGGTAGAGCTCTTCACCTGACTACCGAACAGATGGGAAGGTTGTAATAATTCTGCAGCTGTTGCTTCTGCCATTTTGCATAGCCCATAAAGTTATCCAAAGCTTTTTCTGGCCATTCTCAAAACAGTTCGGTCCTAATGCAGAAGCGAATACAGATGTAAGTATGTATTTTCCTCTTCTGGACAGGCTGTGTTTTTTTATTAGTCATAATTAAAAGGAAGTAAACAAAAAGCCTGTTCTACTTTGTCTATCTTAAGCGATAGAGGAGGAAGTCCCCAATGACTGCCAATACTCTGATTTATTCGGATCAGATCTCGCCAATCAAGTGCTACTTACTCCTCTAGAGAAAGCGATGTGTTTTGGAGGGAGGATAGTGTCAAGTTATATCATTATTTAAATTATTTAGGATAATAATATTTCAGGTGCCTCCCGAATGTGTGAGGTGCTGCACGAGGGGGTTTTTCTTTTGCATCTGAAATATTTTCAGACAAAATTATAATTCTGATTGGTGCAAGCTGTTGCTCTAGTTAACCAAGACAGTCCTATTTACTGGTCGGTATTTCTGACAATATCAAAATCAGCATCCTACACTAACATCGACCTCATGCTCTTCTGATGTTGTCAACTCTAAAGTTAGCAGGACAGCAGCACGCCGTCAGCCCTCCCACACGTGACTTGTGCTACATGACTCCTGTCATAAGTTTTCCTAAGTTTTTTTCCTCTTCCAAGTACCCCAAATATAGAAAAAGCTTATACATAAGATATTCATTAAAGCCACAAAAGTAGAGTGAAAATATAGCGACAAAGAGCATATAGAAAGCAAAATGGGAATGCTAAGGCAGCCCCAACACCCTGCCTTGCTCTCCCCTCTCCCTCTATCTTTCCGCCTTTCACCCCTCCCCCCAGTAGACAATAAGGAGACAACATCTGGGGAGTCTCCCCAGATTAAGTAAGACCCAAGTCACAGCTCAGGGGGACTCCCTCTTATTTGTTTTAAACTGTTAGCAACATTTTTAAATCAATTGTTGAACCTGGCTTCTTAGAGGCACCGGGTTCTCTTTCTCTTCAGAATCCTGAAAACCTCACTTATTAGAACAAAATATTTCTCAAAGACAGAATTACTGCAGTTTCCTCAGACTTTGTTTTTCTCATCTGGCAGAAAGAGTTTTGCGATCTGAGTGTCAGTACTCCAGTTAAGCGAACTTGGACAAGTTGTTTAATATCTCCAAGACTTCCTTTCCTCACCTATAAAAAGAATATGAGAAAGTCACTTGACAACTCCTGCACAATATAGATAGGCAGCTATTACAATATGCAAGGGACTCATGGCAATGAACAGAGTCCCCAGCTGTCTCAGGGTTCTGGGCGCAGCTTAAGCGGCGTTTGCAGGGGGTGAAACCCCTCCCCAGTGGCTCACGGTGGTGGACACTCAGGGTTCACTTACTAAGATCAGGACCCATCCTGCTCTTCATGAAACGCTCAACCTTGGAGGTGTCCCACACATTCCGGCATCAAACAGTGAGAAGAAAGAAGTGCTTACACTTTAAGGCAGAGAGAGGAAAGCCAGGTCATAACAAGGAGGCAAGCACCTTAAAAAGAGAAGAAAGCCAGCAGCGCTGTGAGAATACAACGGGGCTCTGACCTTGTGGTCTGAGTTCTCTGGAACTTATGGAAAGGTTAAATGTACTTAGACAAGAGAATAGTTCTGGAAAATAGCCCTAGCGCTCTGTGCGAAATGATCACCTTTGAACACTGTTGAATCAGTATTAGTTACATGGGCAAAGAATAAGACAAATATATACATACAAACATCTGAAAAGCTGTGAGTATCATCTGCGTGTTTCTACTCTTACAAAATGTCCTCTGAGCACACAGTCTCCAGAACGAGTCATCCTGGAGTACAAGCCTACGCCAGGGTGTTTATTTTAATAAGCTTTGGATTGTGTAAGATTCTGCTTGGGAAAAGTTAAGACCTTTTTTTGAAGTTCAGTTTTCCTCAAAGTTGACAGCCCAGAGAAAAAGTAGTTTTTATAAATGATTTCTCAGGAATGCAATTTGCGCAAAAACAAATTCCAAGCCTGTCAATTTTATCGTGGCTCTGGACGGAGGCTGTAATGCTTTTGCACGCAACACAAATAAACAGCATGCTTAGCTGCAGCTGTTGTCCTTCTTTGTGTGGTGGACCAGCCGTTTCCTTCGTGAGCTCAGAGTCATCCCTGACGTTTTGCTGTCTCTGTCCTCCCCTTTCATTCCAGTTCCAGCATTTCCTGGGCTTGGCCACCTTTTATTCGGTGTTAGAGGTGCTGGCAGTTGCTGGGTAACTTCTGTTTCTCAATCTTGATTTTCTGAATCATCCAGATTAGTAAACTGACCAAGTTTACCAGGACTTGGCAGTATTTACTCTTGATAATGACCTTCAAGCCTCTCCATTAAAAAAGGGGGTCTCTATGGAACACTGCAGTGACTCACAACCATGGAACTTTGCCCTAAGAGCACAGTTTGGGGGCGGGGGAAACACGCATGAGAGTTGAAGCCATTCTCTAAACTGTCCTTTTGCTGCCAAAAAGAAGACAATATTGGAATTACTAGATGATCTTGGACATTAGAGTCTAGACCTGCAGAATAAGCTAACATTCTCCACGGGACCAGACGGGCTTAGGAGGCGGGAAGTGAGTGCATTTAGCCGGGGGGCTTGCAGGAAGTCCCCGGCAGGGAGACTGAGAGCCTGAATTTGGGTGCAGTTGAGAGAAGGAGCAAACAAAGATGGAAGAGAACCGCAGGAAGACGCCTGGAGGACGGACAACCGATGGGAAGTGGGGGGTGAAGAGAGGGACAAAGAAAACTGAAGTTCAAAGTCTAGGAAGCAAAGGAACGGCCATGCCCCAACAGACAGGGAAGGGGGCAAGGCCACCACCGGCTAATAGTCCAAGATGCCAAATGTCTTCAACACAGAGGGCCTTAGGCTATCCTAAAATCATTAGGCTTCCTGACGATTCAAAGGCATTTTTTCTTTGTCTTTTAAAAAAATTAATAGACTGTATTTTGGGGGGGCAGTTTTAGGTTTACAGAAAAAACGGAGCATAAATTACAAAGAATTCCCATATACTTCTCCCCATCAGCCCCAATTTCCCCTATTTTAACATCTTGTGTGAATGTGGAATATTTATTACAATTGACAAGCCATTATTGATCATTAACTAAAGTCCATAGCTTACATTAGGGTTCACTCTTAATGTGGTACATGCTATGGGTTTTGATAATGTATAATAACATGTAGTCACCATTACAGTATCGTACAGCATAGTTTCACTGCCCTAAAAACTCCTTGTGCTCCACCCACTCCTCCCTCCTTCCCCCCAAGCCCCTGGCAACCACTGATCTCCTTACTGTCTCCACAGTTTGCCTCTTCCAGAATGCCATATAGTTGGAGTCACACAGGACATAGCCTTTCAGACTGGCTTCTTTTACTCAGCAATACGCATTTAAGGTTCCTCCATGCCTTTTCAAGGCCTGCTAGCTCATTTTTTTTTGTCACTGGATAACATTCCATGGTATGGATAGATCCCTTTAATT